TACACTCAGCCCCTGTCCCTCCAGGGAGCAAGTCTCCACATGGGCGCGCACATCCATGTGGCATGCACGCCCATGCAGAGAGCGGTTTCCAGGAGGGACAGGTGCTGAGTGTAATGGTCTGTAGCCGCCTGTATCTCCCTATGGGAGAACGAAGCTGCACGTGGTTATATGCAGACCTGAACATTGCACATGCATGCGGGTTCGGGTGCCGCAACTTGGACGCAGGGAGGTACAGGTGGCTGCATTGAACATCTGTTCCTCTCGGGAGCAGGTCTCTGCATGGGCATGCACATCCATATGACGTGTGAATGAGCCCTTAAAGCAGTGGTTCTCAACCTTTCTAGGGCCGGGGCCCCTTGGTAACATTTGCCAAGTTGTGGTGACCCCCAAAAGGTAAAATTTAGGGATGACGCGGCTGCTGCAGTGACATCTGGAGGCGTGGCAGGAGAACTGACACTGCTGCGCTAGGAGAGAGCTGAGGAGGACTCTCACCTTGCACAGCGACCCCACAGGTTGAGAACCACTGCTATAGGCAAAGACAGGACCGGGCTCTGCAGCTGGAACTAGAAGAATTGGATTTAAAGTGTTTGGCTATATAACGTATGAGGTACATACTCCGCAGTACTGTCACTGATAGGGATGGGCTCGGGCGTGTCCCCAGCTCCACGTGCCGAGCCCGCCAGGAAGCTGACAGCGCGCAGTGCCAATCACAGGTACTGAGACATTTCCCAATCTCTGCAGCTGCGGACCGGGAAAATGGAATGCATAGCTAGAGGTGTGTTTTACATATTTTTTTGCTTGAATACATACATATTGCACCCGCCCTCTGTTGCTGTCAATCACTAGAAGGGGGTGGAGAACTTCAGGTCCCCCACTGCTGATTGGCAGCATCAGAGGGCGGTTGCAATAGCTAGTTTGCTATTGGCTTTTGCAAAGTGAAATAGCCAATAGGAATCTAGCTATGCAATCCTATGGTGGTTTTTTTTTTTTCCTGACTAGGCGACCCCTGGCAAATCATCATTCGACCCCCGAGGGGGTCCCGACCCACAGGTTGAGAACCACTGCCTTAAAGGATGACCTTACTGTCACTGAAAATACAATTATCTTTTCCCCCCTGACCTGTATTGGGACAAGGCCCCATAGAAGTCTGGGGGGTGTACTTTGTTGCCGTGATCGAGAGATCGAGAGAGAAATGTCCCTTGTCCATGGACGGTGGCCCCTGAATACCGTGAATGCTGGAGTATTCCTGCCAACAGAGTGTAAAGTCTCACAATAAAGTCAATGGCTGAACCCCCGGGATGTGCCGGCACTACGTGAGCACACGTATGCAGACGCAGACCAACCGACAGCAGCATACAGCCATGGGAGGCTTTACGCTGGCAT